AGAAACTATAACGTGGCAGAAACATGCAGATAGAAACACTCTCTCAGTATACGTTCCCCCCTCCCTAAAGCTTTCAGCTGTCACGGTTTGCAGATGCATTAATCTTTAATCAACTGAATACGTTCTGCAGTGAGGTATTCAGGGAAAGAACAGGTCATGACAAGCGTTCGCCTAGAATAACTAAGCGCTCGTGCATGAGCTGTGCCATCAGACCTTGCTGGATAGCAGCAGGGAATAGAGAGAGAGCTAAAAATAGCCTTTCCTTGCAGTGTTTTTCCAGACTATTTTTGATTCTTCATTTTGATAAGGTCGACTGGCTATTTGCTAAAAATAACCAATCCCAGCAAACTGAGGACAAAAAGTGGAGTGTTTATAACCATCTCAGGCTCTTTAGTACATTTGTTAGTTGCAGATAACCTAGGATCTTGTCATCAGTCAGTTGCCAGTGTTTTATCTAAGTCAGTAATAAATAAAGCATTAATTGGAATGAAGAATGAGTGTATCTTGCCACTCTTGATTTTCTCAGATGGAATACACTTTTTTTTTTTTGTGTGTGTGTGTATATATATATATATATGTATACATACCCTTGTAGGTTACCTCACCCTGTTCTTCATCATGTGGTCTGAATTGATTCAGAAAGAACCAAAACAAACTCCTGTTAGGTCAGCCAATCTTACAGAAATAGCTGCATATGCAATTGAAAGTGCAAAAGCAGCTTTGCCTTTTTGCACACCTGATATTTCAGTTGCAAAATTTTCCAGGGGTGTGTGTGAGTGGTTCACATAGCTTCCTCCACGAGGTTTTTTTATCCAGCCCTTGTGTGCCACCATCTCTCTGATGAAGTGAAATCACCACTCTGCCAGTAGCACAGGAGTGACAGAGGGATTCTGTAACCAAGTAACTGAGGAGGACTGCAGAGAAATTGTCAATATAAATGATTATTTGACCCCAAGGCAGGTTTTAAGAAACTGGGTGGTTATGGGGACAGGGGGAGCACACAGTAGCGAGCCCAGCTGTACGCTCTGTTGGATGCATTCTAATAAAGACAACAATTAAGGCATTAGCATTTATTTAGGAAAAAAATCTATCATACAGTACATTTGAGCAGCTGCCCTTCTTCAGTTAAGGTAGAGAACTATTAAGTTATTAGTGAATATTTTCCCTTACAGATGTTTTGCTTGGGATCTATTCAATTTCTGTAAGGGAAAACTCATCTTCACAGATTTGTTCCTTAAGCATGGATGATCCTTCATAAATATTTCTCTAGAATGGGCTCCACCTATGCCGTTCGCATAACTGCAGTGTAACACAGGTTGATTATTTTGGAGATTCACAAATTCTCCCCTCCCATAAACATGGACACATCAAGCATAGAACTGAAATGTATGTTAGGAAGTTTGTATGACCGAGAGCAGCGCTGTACGGGAAATTCCCACCTCTAACCTAAAAATACTGAACATTTCTCTGGAGAAAAAAGCAGGGGAGGGGAAGAGAGAGAGACTGGAACATGGCAAGGACCATGAAAGCATCTAGGCTCCTCTCTGTGCTCAAATGAATGAGAACCTGAACACCAAAATTGTATGCAAATTAGATTTTATCATCTTGTTTAATTACAAAGGACACGAGTAATGAAGTCAAAGTGTTATACTCATCTTGATGGCATTTCTTATTTTAGATGAAATGCAGCAATTTTTGAAAATATAGATCTGACTGGCCTTCAGCATTTCAGGTACTGCTCTGTTTGCCTATTGCTTGACAAACTGGTAACAGAAAGAAATGCAGGGGGGGGGACAGTCCTTAATCATTTCTCTGTAATTTTTTTTCTCCATAGAGATTTGCCATATAGAAAAAAAAAGGCCATTAATAATAATGATGAGAAATAGCGAGCAGAGAGAACATCTAACACGGAGGTAGCAGCAAACAATTTGTACAGGCAGAGCCCGTGTTTTTTCTGTCAGGGTATTCTTCCGGCAATTTAACTTCTATATACATATACACAGGACTTCCTAAATGTTTACCAATTCTTTTCAACCCGTAAAGGCCATTTTCAAAATTTATGGGATTTGTACAGTCAAAATAAATGTTGCTTATTCCAACAGCAGACTCATAACACCACATTTCTCTCTAGGCTCATTTCCAGTTATATTTTGAGTTTCTGTGACCAAGCTAACATTCCTCAGTGGAGAGCTCCTCAAGCAGGTGTTACAACCTAAAAAAATATGGAAAATATTCCGTGCAACAAAGTGTGTGTGTGTCTGTCCTGTTATTTTGAGTTACAGCAACCTCAGATGGAAGTGACTGTGGGCCATATTATACTGGCTGTGAGGATTCTGAAAGTACATTACACCCTCTTTCTTACAGAGAGGGGGGCTTTACTAGCCGCTTCCACACAGAGATAGTACAACAAACCTGCTTCCTCAGCAGTAAACATATCTGGGTAAAAAACGTATTATATTTATTGTTACTATTGTATATTAACATACTCTGACCATAGGAGTGACCCGAACACCAAAAGAAAATAAAATTAGGTGTAATTAATGGGTTGAGTTTGTTACAGGAATCCCCTGAAATACTGCTTCAACTAATGCCTATACAGTCTTACCTGATTCTTCACTTCAAAGAGCTTTCTCCCTGAATTTTTGTTGCTCAGACCCTCTTTGAGATACATAAATAAGAGGGGGCAAACCAGGACATCCGTTTGTGCTTTGGCTGTACATCTCACCTCCTGTTCCATTGAGGAGACCTGTGTTGTGCTATAGCTTTCATTGTGAACACCCAAGAGCAAATGGAAAAGAAACTCTAATAATCAAATAATGTACTTAAAAACATTGTACATGGACAAATACCAAACTAAAAAGCAAACATGATGCTTGGAACTATCCCTTCTACTCATCTTACCGATCACCTCACCAACCTTGCCTCATCGCGGGCATCTGAGAGAGGGACACGTTACTTCTAACAGCTGCCGCACGCAGAACCATCTTCTCCTCAGCCACTGGTCAGACTCCTGCTCACTGTCCAGGCAGTTCTGCATCGTCACCTCGCCGAAGTGCAGTCTCATTAATTATTTGCTACCTGTGCCTTGGTAATTTGGTTTATGATATAGACAGATGCTTTTGTCACTCACTACGACGGTCCCATCTGCCCAAATCTACAATGCCCAAGAACAAAACCAACAGAGCCATGATGGTGCCGCTGTGAGCCATCAGTCACTGGCATCCCACCTCACAAAGGAACTGTAAAACGAAAGCTGATTTACGTGAAGATTGCACCAAAGAATAACCTGAATTTCCTGTTAACTCTCAATGTCAACTCCCTTCTCCTAAATGATCTACAGAGAAGAAATTGAAGCGAGATGCATGCATCTCAAGGGACCAAAAATTTTTTTCCTGCCTTTCCAATTTCATACTGGAGGCTTAATCAGAAGAGTAGAAGACGGTTCTTCACCTGTGATCAGCAAACTCCAACTGCTTTGACAGCACAGAATTTAGCCTAAATTTTATCTTTCACCTCTCTAACTTATTATATAAACAGATTCCATAATGCCACCAGGATGAAACCTGGTTACTACTAGAACAAATTATAGGAGGAGATAGGCACACTTCCATTGAGTTTTCATGGGCGCTTTCCTTGAACTCTGGATTAATATGTATGCAGAAAGAACAGCTAAAATTCTTTTAAGGTACCTAAAATTTTATAGTACCAGAAATTAAAGAGCTTTGTATCTGTGAAAGAAGCTTTCCAAATGAAAGACTATCACCATCATACAGGAAACAGTGTCTTTTGAAATGGAAGAGAGAGGAAGGAGAGGAGACTGAAGAATACCATTTAGTCAAAAAATTACCCTGCAAATTCACAAACATAGCTAAAAAATGGCCTTAATTACCCTGACAATGGTGGAAGGTGCCACCTTGGAAGCCTGTGGGCTTAAAGTAGGGCTACAACTAGCACGGCAACAGAAGCAGAATTCTTTGTATTGTCCTGCCAATATACCTGACTGCTAACCAGAAGGGATGGACTTCCAGGAATAGGAAGGCTGCAGAAAGAACATCTACTTTCAATCACCTCTCCATTCTTAGCAATTTGTGGAACACTGTGCCAAGAGGCCAACGGATGCTGTTTATTCATATGAATACAAAAAAGAAGGATAGAAACAAAAATGGGCGTTTCACCAACCGAGGGTGTTGGATACTGTCTGATCTGAGGTTAGACTGGAAACCAACTAAAAATAAAAAGCTCTACAGAACTCAGATTAGATGACCATGGTCCTAAGAGCCTCACCCATGCAGATGAACCCATACACATGCTTATCTACCCTTAGCTGAGGCTAAGTTAGGGCTGACACTGGGTTCTATCTCCCCAAAACACCTCTTTGTGAAAGCAGTCATCTTCCGGCCCCAAAACAGTTACATCTGACCATCACCAGGAAAAGGGAAACTTTACATATTTTAACAACCTCAAGTCTCCATCTTCCTGGAAAGCATGAAATAAGAAGCATAAAAAATGACACCACAGGACCTTATAAGAGAGTTAAGAGCATATTCATTAGAAATGAAATACAAAATGCAATGATGCTGTAGGACAGGGGGCAGCAGGCGAATAAGACCCCCACCATTCCCTACCCTCACCCCAACCCAAGGAATGCACCTATATAATACAAATTAGAGATCTCAAACAGGGGGGGGAGAGGAGGGGTTTTACAAAGTGATTTTCTTGCTATACAGAAAATATATTATTTGCTGGAAGTCACTGCTGAGCTGTTAGGGGCCCAGGGTCAGTCACTGCTCAGAAAACCCCCTGAAGGCACACTGACCCCTACTGCTTCCCCACCAGTTTGCTGAACACGTCATAGATCTCTGGCTTTTCCTGTGCAAACTGCTCGGCTGTGTTTTTCTGTAGCCAGTCAGACGAACGCATCTGTTGCTGCAGGAGGCCAATGAGGTCACCAAGGTTGGAGCTACCGGCGCAGGTAGGCTCCTGGTGGCGGGACACAAAAATTACTTCGTCTGTGCTATCTGCTTTGCCTCTTCCAAAACCTTGCGGATCCGTTGCATACCTGCAGTGGTATAAGGAAGAGAAACGCTAGTTTAAGCCACAAGTCCCCCTAAATCTGTCAGATCCAGAAAAATTTGGAGGAGGGAAGGGAAGGGAAGAAAAACAGAGAAGACAAGAGGATAATAAAAATAATAATAATATAAGTTTAGGATTAAGGAGAGGAGGAAACAGCGCTGCAGAAATTCTGGTGTGAGGAAACAGAGAAGAAAAGACTACTCACCTAACTGTAGCCGGTGGGTCTTGTCAGCAAAGATGATGCGGAACCATCCGGGTTCACTGCATTCAAAGGCTTTACCACAGGACAGGAGGACCTTGTTATCCAGAAAACGCCTCCAGAGCAGCATCTCCTCCTCAAATGTGCCTGTCCTAAGGTACTAGGAGAGTCAGCAGAAAGGCCAGAGGTTAGGAACGTATAGGCTAAATCCCTGAGATCCTCATGAATTTGTGATTCCCATGAGGTCTGCAAAGGCCAGGGGAGACACCTTTTACCTCTGAAGTACAGCAGTTGTGATATAAAGGAAGAAATGGGGAGGAAAGTGGCTTGAGAGCAGTAAGATTCCTGCAAGGAGGGAAATGCACAGACAGACGATAGGAAAAGAATGGACAGAAATACCAGGCAGCCCTTCCCTCTGCTCATCAGACAACACATTTGTTAAGACGAAGTGCTTATCACAATATTAAACTTTCCTCTAGACACAGTTGCACCATGTGCCTCCCCTCATCCCAGGAGAAGCCTCCCTTCCAACCAACCTTTCGGAAATCTATCCAGACAAAGAAGCCTGCATTGCGGTTGAGAAAAGGAACCCCAAGTGTCTTCAGCTCGTCTGTCACATACGTATGGGCAGCTTTTAGGCGGGCATGGTTGGCCCTCAGGTACACCTGGTTGATCCAGTCTGACCAGAAGGAGAAGATAAAGAAAAAAAAAAACCCATAAACTGAGAAAGAATTCCAATCTGTTCAAGTTTCCAAAACACTCACAGTGGCTTTTTCCATTTCACCCTTCACTTCCTACTTTTCATTTTCTGTTTCCTCAAATAGCAAAAAGAGGGGCAAGAACTATTTAGCAGTTTCATGTCTGCGCAGAAGAATATTTTCTTGACCTTCCTGAGGAATTTTTCCTACATTCATAGCTCTTAGTTGTTGTGGACTGTTAGCACTCCATCCAGGGAGAAGCTAGAACTCCAGTTCCACTTTCCTTGTCCTGCAAGCCTGTAGTCTTTGTTTCTGCTCAGCTGGTTCTACACAACACTGGCTATTTCTACACAAATAGCTATCACACTTCTTCAAAGCTGCTCCTCTAATTCTGCTGATCAGGAGCTCTGCAGAAATGGTCCTTTTCTGTAGAACTGTCAGTCTCGTGATACATGGCAGCTTCAAAATTACAGGAGACCATCAGTTAAGATGTACAAACAGGAGACCACTTGGGAATGTAAGGGGAGGGGATCCCCCAGGTACCTAGACACACAGAACAGCAGAGAATCATACATGGAGCTACTGACTCACCTCTGTCTCTAAGCAGCTGTGCAACCTTGTGCTGGACAGGTCCACACACCCCATGGAAATAACACAAAGAAGCCACTGCATTAGCAACATCTTGGTTCTCTGTATATAAAGTACCAAAACGAATCCCAGAGACAGCAAAATCCTGCAGAAGACATGGAGGGACTACTTTATTATGCAGGAAGACCAGGGTGGTATTACTACTGCCTCATTCTTTCCAGCATGAGGAAGCTGAGGACACCCAGCCAACCCTGCCAGCCAGGAAGCCACGGCTTGATGGCAACCAGCACTCACCTTGCTTATTCCCCACATCACATGAGTCCGCTGTGGATCAGGCAATCTGTATGTAGAAGGATGCAGATGGGCAGTTAGTGTCATAGGTGCTGAAGCTTTTGGATCACCAATGCAGCATTGCAGAAACAGAGAGGCAGCATTACACAATGACAGACAGTGCAGCATGGAACATCAGTCAAGTAGGGAAAATTCAAATCCAACCTAACTTTAGAAGCTAGGAACTCCCTGGAGCTAGTTTCAGACACAATTTTTAAATATTTTCAGATACATAGATACTTGCAAGTTCTCTATTTCATGCACAGACTTCCTGCACATATGAAGCTTGTACATACAATGCTAGAAATCAGGCCTGTGCCAATGTATTTGCCAAGAACTAAAAGTAATTTTCTATCTTTCAAACCCCCATATTTTGCAGAAGGAGATAAAGTTCTTCTTTTGCTATGTTGTACTTCCAAGCCCAGCAACACTGAGCTAACACTTAACCAAGTGTATTTTATTTCCTTGCAACTGAGCACAAAAAGATAGCACCACTGGTGAAAACTAGAAGTAAAAACAAAACAAAACAAAACAAAAAACATACTATATTTTTAAAAGGTGAGATTTGAAAAGTTTTTAATCTTACTAAATCAATACCTAATAAAACCCATTCTCCAGTCTGTAATAACACTGAGATCCGTGACTACTAGATGGAAAAAAATAAAGTAAACAGCAACAGAAAGTCTTTACAGGCATCAACAGAAACGTGGGAAAGAGGTAACAACGTTTAGGCAGGAAGAAAAGCCTCACTCTCAACAAATGAAACATCTGTTTCCGGTTTTGGGGACTGTCACAAGGAAAAAATACCAAAGCACAGATCGAAAAGTGTACCACAACAGAAAACTGTTTTTTACTTGCTAGATTGCACTTGACAAAATGCATTTGCCATTCAGAAATTACAAAAAAAATTAAAAAAAAAAAGGAAACCAGCATAAGGCAGATTCAGAATTTGCTAGCTCATGACTTAACTTCCAGTCACAAGTTCTCAGCAAGGCATCATGTTGAACTGTCACTGGAAGATGGCCAGGGAAGTAGGAGCTGATTTTACCTGTCCATGCCTAGGACACTGTGAAACGTGGCTGATTCATCAAAAACTGACAGCATGTAGATCTCATCTACTATCACATGCAATTCATGTCTGCAAAAGGACAAAACGGAGATTACAAAAGGCTGCTTCTGGTTTAGAAGCAGAGGTAAATTCAGGCCTGCAAATACTTGCTGTATACAAAGAAGAGGGACATCAAATTTTGCAGAAGTAAAGCATTTTTTTCACAACTCAGATGATCTATTATGTGTACAGTGAAGTGATTTGAGATATATCCACCTAACTGTCACCCACTCCTACCAGAGAAGCACAGCACCATAGTGTTTGCTAAGACTACCAACAAATAAAACTTGCATTCCATGATGCAAGTTACTTTGCCACTCCAGATGACTGCATGATCCATGTCCCCTTGTCCCCTCTCCTCCCTCTCCTCTCTTAAACCCACTGCTGTGTGTGAAGAATAGACTGTTTGCCTGACTGAAAAGATATTCACAGATGATAAATTCAGGGACAGAGAGTAGTCTACCAGATTCTGGAAGCTGTATCCAACCCAGGATGCCTCAGCCTTCCAAACTGACATACCTTTTAGCAAATTCCAGGTAATCCCGTAACTCTGACAAGGAGTAGATGTCCCCAAGGGGATTTTGGGGATTCAGAAGAATTAAGGCCCTTACAGTGACACCCTGCAGAACGCAAGTAACACAGTATTAAGAGAGCACCCATCACAGGATAAATTTTTAGTCCCTCTACTTGAGCAGTGAGCATGATGCAAGATTCCCCTTAAGCTTCCACTGTGACTTTTCACCTCAAAGGTTAGATTTGCATGAGAAAAGTTTTAGCCACGAATTAAGATTGTTTTTACAATTATATCACTTGCAAAGTGAACTGAGGAAAAGTTGATAGAATGAACCTGTGATTCTGGAAAGTCGGCCACAACCGTTTCCATCTGGTCAACGAATGAGAAAGATGCTCATAATGATCTTAGTGATCTAAATATGCAGCTAAATGTATATAGGGCTTAGGACAATGTCAAAACTTACAGACTAACTCTTCAGAAAGGTGAAACTCATCTGCATTTGTCCTCTAGACTTGCACCTCTCTCCCTCCTGCAAAAACTCTGGGTGTTCTTAGTGGATTCATTTGCACTACTGTGTAGAGCAGTCAGTTTTGGGGTAGCTCAGCTGGCCTTCCTGAAGGACAAACCCCAGGTAGTGCCTAGTTTTTAGTGCATGCCCAAGTACCTTTTTTTTGTTATATGAATGGGTTCCAGTGCTTTGTGAATGGGCTGGTACTCCTGGTTTATCCTTTCTGCTATGACCAAAATTGGACAGACATGACACAGGGGATTCCCCCTAAGACTGCGCCTGAGTTTGCAAGCAGCCTAATCTCAGGTCATCTACTAGGACAACCAGAAAGCCAGGTGCTAGGTTTTGAAAATGTTTTGATCTTCAGGCCACTCCTGGGATGCGCAGTCTCAAACATATTGTAGACTTAGCCGGTAATGTGAAGCTTAGCTAAACTCACCTCTGCCCGGGCATCCTGCAAGGCTTTTTCCAGTTTTTCCACTGTAAGCTGAAAAGGCCGAGTGCTTGTTCCAGTAATCTGAAAGACATAACAAAGATAAAAAAGGCCAAGTTATTTCAATAGAGTCTGCCTTGAGCCGATCCCCTGAGAAATGTTCCCCAAAAGAAAATAACAACCCAAGAATAACGACCTAGCAACTATCTTCTTATCCTTTTATAATACAGAGAGAATAAATAAATAAAATCAAAGAAATGTTCATCATAGGCTGGCCACACACAGAGAATTCCCTGGTTATCCTTGAATAACTAAAACAATGCAAGATCTCCATCTGTTCTTCCACCCCGGGACCATCTTTAGTAGGACAGTACATACTTCTGTCTCCAAAACTCAAAATCGCCATTTTTTTCCTCTCAAGAACCGTTAGTGGCAGTAAGATACAAGAAAAGGAAAAGACTGGAATCCAGATTTATTGTCTCAAAAAACTTTCTTGCAAATTATATGCCCAGTTTCCCAGCAATAAATTGGGAAAATGTCCACAAGCTGCAGCCTATCCTTGTTCTGAGGACTGCTTTCAGAGTTTCCCAAAGCTCGGCACTTTCCGTTATCAGTTATTTTTTAACTACAGAGGTTGGTATTCCCTTCCTTCAGATCTTACCTTACTGTCTAAATAGGCATACACCAGCTTGACATTACCATAGAGGAAGACACTCTGGGTAATACCACCGTAAAAGGGAGTAGCAATCAGAACAGCTTCTGGAACCGAGAAAATAAAATTGGTTATCATAGAATCATAGAATGTTTAGGGTTGGAAGGGACCCCTAGAGGTCATCTAGTCCAACCCCCCTGCAGTGAGCAGGGACACTGCTAATCAGATCAGGTTGCTCAGAGCCCCGTCCAACCTGGTCTTGAATGTTTCCAGGGATGGGGCCTCCACTACCTCTCTGGGCAACCCGTTCCAGTGTTTCACTACCCTCATTGTAAAGAATTTCTTCCTTATATCCAGTCTAAACATACCCTGTTTTAGGTTAAAGAGTTTATCAACAGGTCACAGTCCTTCTCTCTCTTCTAACGTAATTCAGCCAAACATGAAAGCTTTTTTACAGCTGTGCCCTCTGGAACACTTTTCCTCTGCTTTATTTTTACATTAATTCTTTAATCTTCTGCAAGAACCCAAGTAAACGTGAGTATAGCCCACATCTAGCCTAACAAACTAAAACAGGGCACCATGAAAACAGGGAAGGCAGACAGGGCAAGACACCAAGTTTGAGTGCATGACATTTGCAGACCATGGAGATGATAAATTTCACAGCACAATCTTGCAGGAAACAAGAACTCTGCAGTAGGCCAATGCCAGTTCCACTACTTCACTTCTGTCAAACAACATTTAAACAGAGTAGCACATTATTTCCCAGCAAAAATAAACATTAAAAACATCTCCCAACCATCCACTTACCCCCTGGATCACAAAGGACTGTAGCTAATGCAGAAAATAAAGAGCCACAACCATTTAAAACAATCACCTACAGAAGAAAGAGAGAGGCTAGTGATAAATCTGTCCATAGAAAGACAACACTATAAAATAATAATTTCTGACCATATCACTGAAATATATTTTCTCCCCAGTTCTCTAGCACAGATGTTCCCAGAATTTTCCT